GACATTTAAAAACTGGTTACAATTTTATTCATTTAGGATTAATTCAGGTTGGAATCAAACCATTAACACAACAAGGTAAAAATGCTTATGTTTTACTATGCTTAAGAGATGCTCGTTTTCTTGATTATAATCGGCAAATTTGTGCCGGACGCAAAAGATAGACCTTTTGAGTCGGCATAGACCTTTTGCGTCGGTAAATTTGTGCCGACGCAAAAAATTAGACCTTTTTGTGTCGGCAACTGATGCCGTAGCAAAAAAAAAAATTTATAACCAAGATATATATTTATTTACTTGATTATATTTAATAAATATATTTATTTATACATATACTTTTATATTAATATTGAGTGTATATACTATAAATAATATATATCTCGTTTAATATCTGAAAGAGGTGTGGTGGTGAAGTGGGTGTAGTGCGTTGACCTTGGGTCAACTTGTCCAAATGGGTGTGTGTTCGAACCTTGGGAGCCTCAGTGAGAAAATTATGAGTTAAATTTTTTAAAACATTTAACCACTTTTTGAGTCGGCAATCTACCGTCTCAAAAAATTAAAACTTTTTGCGTCGGCAGATTGCCGACTCAAAAACTTTTTGCGACCCCACCATTTTCGTCCCTTGAGTTGCCGTCGAAACGCCGTCGCAAAAAAGTTTTTGCGTCGGCAAATCCGCTATTTGCGACGGCAAGCTGCCGACTCAAAAGCCCTGCTTTTTAGTAGTGTCTCCCTCCCCTCAGGAAAAGAAACAGAGAAAACCGAGTCTGGTTCGCAAACCGAGACAAGGCACAGAAGAGGGTTCGGAAGTCCGGAGGCAGGGCTCACGGCCGCGACTCTGAAACTTCTAAACGAGCACATTATGCAACATCACCAAGCGCTCAATCGGTGACGTCTGAGTCTTAAGGTCGGTTAAAAATGGGGTGTCTACACATCTCATTTTCAGATTTTATAATTTGACCCCATTTTAAGTTTTTTAAATTATTTTTTTGCCTTGCCGTATCCATACCGTATCCTAACCATATCCTCGCGTATCCTAGACGTATCCGAAATTCAAAAATAAAAAAAATTGGATACTTCATTTCCCGTATCTGATACGTATCCCGCCATATCGGGCGCGTATCCGTATCCGATACGTATTCGATACGCGTACGGGGCCTATTTCGGAGTATCCATGCTTCATAGATGATACATTGGGATTGTTTTTATTGCAAATTTTATTAGCCGATCAAATTGGAAAATTTTTAATCGATTAATGATTTATCTAGTGAATTTATTCAACAATAATTGGTGGCCCGAAAAATCATGGCTCGAATGATTCAAAAAATTCAAAACAACGTCGTTTTGAGTATAAAACGATGTCGTTTTGACACAATCGAGCCATTCGAGTCACAAAAATTCAGGCCACCAAAAATTTTTCGAATTTATTTTAGGATTTTAGATAAATTACCAATAGATTCTAATAGTTAGATTTAATTCTTATTAAGTCCTATTGAAAATAAGTCTTGATAAAATTGTCGCTAAAAATAATTTTTTTGTGACAATTTTTTATATATGTCATTAAAAATTGATAATTAATGAATTTTTTTGTCATAATTTTTATAAATTATCGCTAAAATTTACAATTAATATTTTATGCGAATTAGTCCGAATGTGTTTTGAAAAGAAATTTATTTGGGCTAATTCGGTCAACACAAATTTGGCAGAGTGGTCTGTTTTTAATATTAAGAGCACCTCCAAGTTGGAACAAAAAATTTATTAAATTTCAATAAAAAATTAATGAAATTTTTGATTTGATGTCGTTGGATTTAATATTAAAATTATATTTTCATCAAATTTTTTTACTTTTCTAGTTGTCCAGGCAGATGTCGTAAAGGTCATCCGGACATGAACAAAAAAAATTGCCAAATTGTCTTAGGTGGACATCCGGTCCAACAGCAATAATTTAAATTTGATAAAATATCTATTTCTCCCTCTATTTGATATCACTTTAATAAAAACGTTAAAGTTCATTTTTTAAGACTTTTTTTTTTTAAAATTTTGAATTTGATAAAAGATTTGAGTAATGGTTGGAGATGGTCTAAGAGATGTTAATCATTATTTCTATGGAAAAAAAAGAAGAAGATAATTTTAGTTTAAGGGATTGATATTAAGATTTTATAAGGTAAACAATATATAATATCTTTATATGTGACGAATTAAAATTTTTCTAATAATATTATTGATGGCCTTAATTAATATAAAATATATATATTTGACCTCTCCTACTATCAAAAGTTGGGAAGAAATGTTTTACTAATTTCTCAACAAAAATTATATATATAATAAATAATTATCTCACTAAATTAATTGAATAATTAATCTTATACTAATTTATAAAATTATTAACTTTTCACTAATCAAATAAGGCCTTTTTTTTTTTTTTTTTTTTGGGGGGGGGGGGTTTTGGCTATGTTCATTATTTTGATGCGATTAAATAGGATAGAATTATCGATAAAACTGTGAGGTATAAATTATATTATAAAATTAGGTGAGATGAAATATTAGATATATGATAAAATTTTGAAAAATAAGTTATACTTTTGAATAATAGAGGTGAGGAAATCTTATGGTACAGACCTCTTCAAGGGTGTTTACCATATGCAATCAACTACATAATATATAATTTTACTATAAAATTTTGTAGTATCAATTACAAAACGTACAATCTCATTACAAATTAACGAAATAAAATATTCAAAATTTTACGGTTCATATAACAAAAGTGGTGGTGGATGGTGTGGGGTGGTGGGAAGAGTGGGAGATGGAGAGAGAAAATGAATGAAAAATTATTTTTTAAATAAATGAAACCAAATAAAAAAAATGAAATATATTATAATGATGTATACACATCAAAATATGAATTTGTTAAATTATATGTGTATGTTTATGTATATAAATAGAAAAATAATATGAACTCACCCTTAGGAACTCATAATTTATCCCAAATGGATTTGTATGGTGTAGTTGATGAAGTGTGGATTCATGTGTAAAATGAATTTGAGCTATTAATTTATTTTTTTGGATAAATTCTGAGTTGATTGGGATGGATTTGTGGTGTTGTTGATACAAATAAATAAAATTATATTAAAATTTATGTTGCAACATATGCAATATAGGAGAATAATTTAATCTCTAGCAAGTTTAACTTTAATAAATAAATATAATTTTAATTATAAATTTATTTTTAAATTGAATACTCACTTTAATAGTCAATATAATGATTAAATTAGTAGGAGAATTAATATATTAAAATTAAATAATAACTCTAATTATTTAATTTTATTTTTTATTTATTTTTCTATTAAAGATATTTATAAATTGAAATTTAAAAAAAAAAAATCCTAGGCATGCCTACATTCTTGTTTGAAAAAATATTAAAGATATTATAGGCATGCCTACATTCTTGTTTAAAAAAAATATAAAAAAAAAACCTAAGCTCTCAAAATGCTCACAAAAGCACAGACCAAAAAAGAAGAAAAAATAGGAAGAATAAAAAAAAAGGAAAAATTATTTATAAGTCCTATTAGGGAGACTTATGTAATGTAAAGTCCTATAAAATTTCTTATTGAGTTTGAAGTCCTATTTAAATTAGAAAGTATTCCATTAAGTCCTATCTATTGTGTTTAAATAGAATTAGTTTACTTTTATACCCTTGATATATGTTGCAATGTTTTAACCGTATTGTTTCCAAACTGTTTGGTGCCGTGATATGCGCCATGATCGCAGAGTCTGTTAGGTTTTCAAAATTTTATTGGGTTGGATGGTTTGGTTGTTTCATCTTGCCGCTTTGGAGTCAGATTGTTTGAGGGAAGGAGATCAAGTTGTCTGCTTATTTAATTGGTGAGTGTTGCTCTGGTTTTTTCCCTATTGTTTTGTTTTCAATGTCCTTATATATCGTATGGATTTCGCAATCTGTCATAGCAATCCATTAGCACACTTTGTAATGGTAATCTCGCATCAAATTCCGTGGTAATGATATTGTGTTATAATGTTCACATACGTGTCACATTACGTTTTGTAAAAGTATTTTACGAAAGCTTATTAGATTAGAAAGTGAAAATGTGAGAATGTTGCTGGGTTCTGTAAAATGGTATAGCCATACATTGGCGCAATTCCCTTAGACTCAAAGGTTGTTACGTGCGTAATGGTCTGTGTTACATTCGTATGTATTTAGTTTGTGTTTTGCAGTTGTGCTACTTTTTCAAAACATATGTCACATTACGAATCATAAAATTATTGGGCTTTATTTTTTTCCTTTTCAATGTCTCATTTGCTTGTTTGTGGATACTATTGGAATGTATGTGAATGTAACGCACATACACATAGACATGAGCATGGTTTTTGTATTGTGTTGTCTCATTCTTGTATTTACTGTGGACATATGTGTCACATTTCGTTTCGCAAACTCTCTGGTTTATATTTTTTACAATTGAATGTGACAATTGTATCGGTTGATGGAAATTATTGGAATGTATATTAATGTTAATCTGACTTTTCTTTGTATGTTATTTAATTTGGGTTGTCATTGTTCAGATATAAAATTGAATGTGATTGATTGTTATTGAATATGGGTTGGACCACGTTGTTCAATGTCGATGTTACTGCGCTCACATTTGATTTCATGTCACATATCTTCCATGCATTGTTCTTTTGTTTTTTGTAGAATGTATGACACGGTTAATGTTTCATTCATTTTGTTGTGCAGGATATGGACATCATACTATTTTGCACCTTCGGTTCATCCACGATTGCTGTCAGGGGTGTTAATGGATTGATATTAAAACAATTGATACAAAATTTATATGGCAGGTGGGTGGATATGACACCATCATCAATTTCCATATCTTACAAATTATCGTGTCATGAGAACCAATTCATGATGAGTAATAATGTGGATATGAAAAACATGTTTTCCATTGCAAGGTCCATTGGCGTTACCTATATTAACGTTGCGATTGACTCGTAAAATGAGATGGAAAAATGAGATGGATGAGTTGAATCAAGGTACTCAATTCAGTGGAACTATGTCTGCAAATCAATTGGATCCTCACAGTGAACCATTTCTAGGTCCCCAACCTAGTGCAGATTTATTGCCCAATTATTGTCGCCATAGTGAGAAAATGTTGATGATAGTTGATTGGTTACATGGAATTAGTCATGTAGGCCAATGTTTTGAAGGGGTATTGCTGCTTTTCATTTGGTTTTGTCCAAATATGCTATTGAGTGTGGGTTTGGCTTCAAATTTGTTAAAAATGATTCAGTGCGGGTTACGGCAGTGTGCACATTGCAAGAGCAAAAAAGGTGTTCATGGTTGATACTTGGAAGGGTTCAAACATGCAATGGATATTTTTACTTGAAGACGTTGAACAACTTGCATAGTTGTGGTGCTGTTGTTCGCACTAGGAAGAATAACAGACTTAACTCTGAATTGGTTTGCAATGTTATTGGTGATCAGTTACGTGATAAGCTGCTTACACGTCCCACTGATGTCGTGTTTGACCTAAAAAAGGAGTACGACCTTAATGTTAGTTACCATATAGCATGGTTAGGTGTGGAGAAGGCAAGAGGCGAAGTGTATGGTGACTATCATGTTTCATTTGATCAACTTATGTGGTACACAGATGCGGTTATGCAGTACAACCCTGGGAGTTATGTCAACTTAGATTTCGAGCAGTCTACCGGCCGATTTAAGTGGTTCTTCATATCATTCAAATCTTGCATTGACGGATTCAACCATATTCGCCCATTATTGTTTCTTGATGACACTTTTTTAAAAGGGAGATTTAAAGGCAATTTGCTTGCAGCGACGGGGAAGGATGGCAAGAAAGGTATGTGCCTTACGATGATTACTTCATACTTCCATATACTAAAGCATTACATTGTGAGCAAACATTTTTTTAAAGTCCACTACAGTACTGGTTGATCCCCATTTGCAAGATTGTTTCCAATTTAATGTTATTTTAATAACATTGTGTATGGTGCGATTCGAATTGTGAACAATTGCTAATGTGGACGTAAACTTTGTTAAAAATATTACACATCTAACGGTAAACCTGTTAAATCTGCCAGGTTTATTCCCATTAGCTTTTGCTATTGTTGACTCTGAAACAACTACAAATTGGACTTGGTTTTTACATCAACTGACAAAGGTTGTTAGTAGTGCTTGCACATTAACTTTCATATCTGATCATAATATTGGGCTGCTTGAATCCTTGCCTACTGTATTCCCATCTGCACACCATGTGTACTGCTTACAACATCTCCAAGCAAATTTGAAGGACAAATTACGATGGGTTGACAACCGTGTACGTTTTGGTTTAATGGCCAAGTTGCGTGAATGTGCATATGCTCCAACCGCGGCTTCGTTTCAACGGCATTGGATGAAGCTAAAAAGAATAGGACGATCTGGAATAAATAATTTCTTGGAAGATATGCCACTGAAGCATTGGGCCAACGCATATTTCAGGTTCGTACGAGATTTACACGTGCTAACATTGCAAGTACCCAATATGTGATAACATTTTCATTATGTTTTCATAATGTCAACAAGGGCAAACGATATGGGGAGATGACCTCGAACACTGCAGAATCGTTTAATAAATGGATACTTGATGCCCGTAATTATCCAATCACAAGGTTGGTTGATACAATCAGTAATCAAATAATGACTATGAGGGCTGAGCGTAAAGTTTTGGCTACTAATTGGAATGAGTTACTTTGTCCAAAAATGGAAAGCCGTGTTAGGGAGGCGTACTCCAATGGTTGCACATGGATTGTTAGCCAGGCAAATGAAGACATATACGAGGTCTATTCATTTCCAACGGTGTTAGTAGACGTTGGCAAGCATTCATGTTCATGTCTCCAGTGGCAATTGAACGGATTCCCATATGCACATGTGGTGGTTGCAATACAGAATAGTGGAAGGGATTTTAGTATATGTGTTGAAAAATTTTTCATCGTTGATCAGTACAAAGCCGCTTATTCCGGATACATTCAGTCAATACCAACAGTTGACAAACCCTCCTATTCGGAAGACGACTTCATCATATATCCACCGGAAGTTAAACGTCCTCCAGGGCGACCCAAGAAGAATCGAATACCATCTCGGGGAGAGAAACTAAGTCAGATCAGGTGCGATCGATATGGCTGCATGGGCAGCCACAACCGAAAGACATGTAAAGAACCAATTTAGTAATAGGCATTTAGCAAGAACATTTGTAATTTGTTTTGAATAGCAGCATCGTATTATCGTAGTATTATGTATCGAAGCAAATTAATGATAGATTTTAATAAGTGAACACACTACTTACAATTGATCATTCAGCTATTTTTTCTTTCACACTGTTTCATTCATATGTTAGTGTTACATGTTTATTTATTTGGTCATGCAAACGTATGTTTCAAACATACGTAATACGTTTGACAAAATGTGTTGCACGCTGGCCTTGTATGTGAGAAGACATAGTTTTTCTAAGATAGGTGATGTTGGTGTTATTGTCTCCATATGACAGGTTATCATGCAACCAGTTAGTCAATCTTAAATTACAGCAAATTCTTGACATATTAAATTGTCAAAGCACACCCAAACGTTATATACATACTTATTGAACAACAATTTCAAAATGTGTGGCATGTATACACAATTGAGCCACATCTATCTAACAAAACCCAACCCCCTAAACATCCTATCACAATTAGTACACACTCCAACACATTTGTCTTAAATATATATAAGCTATACATTGTAAGTCAAATTTTGTGACAGCAATCTATCATCGACACGTAACGTGAATGTCCGAATCAACAATTTCAGCGACGTAGACAACAAACGCCATGTTAGCAATCCTCAATATTTGTAGTTGCCGTTTCAATATCCCTACAACAAGTTCCATACATTGCCATCACAATATACGAACTACAACTAGACAACCAAGATTCCTTCTCACCTTCTCATTCGCATGCACCTATACATTCACATTCACATACACCTACACATTCACAATCACATTAAATTTGGCAATATCATTTGCACATACACATTCACATTCCTATTTTCCCACTCAGTAAGACAAATGCCCAAAACTGCCATACATTCGCAATCACAACCTTGCTATTAAATGTAAACAACCAAACCTGTTCTGTCATTCACAATCACATGCAATTTCACATTCACCATCACATTAAAATAACCCTTCACATTCACACAACCACATTCACATTTGTATTTCACATTCGTGAAAAAAGTACAAAACACTATCATACATTCACATTTACATTTTGGGTATTACAGGTATACAACCAAACCTGTTCTGACATTCACATTCGTATTCACTGTCACAACCACCATCACATTTACATACAACTTCACACTTACTCAACCACTTTCACATTTGCAATTTCACACTCCCTAATACAAGTACCAAACACTGCCATACATTCACAAACACAATCTGGGTATTAAAAATGAACAACCAACATCGTTTCACAACATTACCATTCACATTCACCTCACATTATGAGTCACATTACCAATTACATTCACATTTACGCAACGACATTCACACTTATGTAGCCAACATTCCTACTGCCCTTAGATTCCTACTGACATTACTGAATGACACATAAAGCCATATTAACAAAATAAAGTGCATACCAAAAAAAATCAATTAACCATTGTAGCCTATTCCCAAAACAAAATATACTAATCAGTAATCCATATTAACAATGCAACTAAAAACATCAAAAACTTCTAATTTTTCCTGTACCACCAAAATTTTTATACCATTCCAAAACAAATTAAGTGTGATTATATACCAAAAATATCAAATCTGCACCCATATACCACCATCTGAAGATAGTCAATTGCCAGCCACAAATGACCTTCTCCTGTCATTTACAAATGACTTCACCATACCGGCTCGCATCGTTTTGTAGCTCTTCCCTCCCATTGACTTGTCAACATCTAGGTGACGCACAAGTTGCTTCATAATGAGCATACTATAATTCCACAATCATTTCTATTACGAAAATTCAAGTCATTAGTAACAATGTCAAAACAAACCACGAGTAATGTACGGAAACATGAATGGCATACGTTGCAAAGAAACGTAACAAACTTATGAGTCTGGTTTTTGTTGTGGACAATAATCAATCACTAGAAGCTCCCTCACCAAGTCTTGTGTTTTAACTGTGCCAACCTTCAGTCTCCGATTTATGTAATCCTCAAAGTAGGATTTCTACATTATTGTCAAATTTATATTACAATAATTAGTTTTGTTATCCAAAATAAAATACAAATATCACTGCAAGTAACTAATTGATGTTTACTAACCAGCAACCACACTTCCCAGTAATGTTTGTCTTCCCTCCCACGTCCTGGTTTCATAGAGTTGTAATGCATCCAAAACCCCTCCTCAGTGTCATATACCATTATTGTCCAATGGTTATCTAAGTGGATTGGGAATTGAATATATCTGGCCTCCAGGGCATGCGGGGTACGTATGGCCAAGTACCTGTCACGTACATCTTCGGCCACATCTCTTATCGTAGGCTGCAAACATTCATTTTGGAAATTTAAAAGCACAAACTAAAAATGACTAAATCCATTTCATCAATTGCATGTCTTACCAAACATAATGTGCTGAAAATGTATGTTTTTTCCTCATCCGTGGATTTAGGCGCCTTCATCTATTGCTCGTACATCAGCATTTCCGCGCATGCATCAATTACCTATGTGGAAAAAAAAACAATTTTTATTTTCCTTCTCTTATATACATGTACGTAAATTGCATTCTATGTGAAGAAGCTTCAAAAGTTTCACGAATAATTAGAAATACCATACTTACATTGCCTCGTAATGTCAACCCCTTAACGATCGCCCGTATATCATTGAAAGACACAGAGTTGGTACCATTCTGCCCAGTCTAGACTTGCGCACTACAATACATTTTTTGACCAATAAATTCATGTACAAATGCAAAATGGTAGGAGCAAGTTGCAAAACTTACCTGTCACCCCCTTTCTCGTATGTTTCTTTAAGCTTGTCTTTCTCTTGCGTTGATAACAACTTCCAGATTGGTAAACAATTAGTCAAGTCGAATAGAGAAAATGTCCTATCTGGGTCTGTAATCTTGTCAACCTTAATGATCTCATTTTGCATTTTTTGTTTATTGGCACACTCACCCCCATTGACCACACCACTATCAGATGGTTTCATCAGCCTCCCCAAAACCAATGGATATTCATACTCTGGCAGTTTATGCTCCTTCCTATTTTTTTTTTTAATGTTTCTCACAAGCGAGTTTTGCAACGCAGTTATTCCAGTGTTTTGGTTAATACCAGCCATTAAATCCACATCACATGCCACATGCCCAATGTCGTTGATCGGGGTCACATGAGTATCCACCCCTTGTAACTCTGTCTTCTCATTCACATCAGATGGAAACGACGTTGACAATGGCATAATGGCAAGTACGTTTGCCTCACAGTGGTATATTTCCTCATTACTTTGCTTCATCTCCTGTACACCAGTAGCTGCTTGGGTGTATTCATGGACTGCGTACTCCTCCAACTGTTCCACGAGCTTCGTGTTTTTGTCGTTAAGCTCATCCACTAGATGCTTTATCCTTTCAATGTCACATTCTTTCTGGTTATTGGTCACTATGATTTCATGTTCTAACTTCCTACATTTTTCTTCGTATGCTGCCATCATTATTGCCAGTTCTGTCTCTAATGCAAATATGACATCTGATTTACATTGGAGTTCTATCTCAAGCACACCAATTTTAACCAGTGCTCTCTGGTATTCTTCAGACGTAGACGCACACCGAGCACACTGATCATTACTCTCAGCACCACCTCTGTTGACATCTCCTTCATTTTGTACATTTCGCTTTATGTTGTCTAGTCCATGGACACTAATACCATCAGTTGAACCCAAAATTCGGCCATCTACATTTGTCTCAGTTGTTGACCCCATGTTCTTACCAACCCCACTGCGATTTGAACATTCGGCCTTTGCTCCAATTTCTGTAATGTCTTTCATCTTCGTGAAGCGCCATTTAGAATGACTGATGTGCAGATCTCTTATCACAACTAGCAAACAATTTAAAAATTAAAAATCAAAAATAGTAATTGCCACATCTAATATTTACTCTAATGGTACACAAAATCATACGTTAACATCATGTGGCTGCTCGATGTCCACTGCTCTTATCTTTATGACCAACTTGCTGATATTCCATTTCATAAACCTCGGAAATCCATCTCCACAATCTGCTTGTATCAAGTTGGTGTGCTCACATATCCAAAACTGTGTGACCATGGGTTAAAAACATTAGTTGTAAAAAAATTTCAAAACAAACACCCGTACCAAAGCTACCAAAGAAAATCAAAATTATATTGTGGGAAAAATAAAAAAACAGAGCACTAACAAGGAGGGCAGTAACACATCCAGTAACTTTCTCAGGCTTAGAGTAAAATCCCTTAATTGACTCCATCAAAGTTGTGCAAATTGCTCCAGCCCAATCATATGCCTTCATGTTCTCTAGATCCTCTACAACCCGGACGAACCCCTATCCCACGGTCTTGCCTGAAGTTGCAAAGAATAACTTCCCACACAAGTATAAACACAGTAACTTTACTACATCCTTGTGGTCCTGAGTAGTGTTCCCGAGTAATGCATCCATTAACAGTTCCTTAATGGTCTTCAAGTTTATGCGTGCTATGTTGGGACACCTTCATTGGATGAAGTCAGTTGGAAGTCTTGGCCCATGTGACACATCTAAACTCTTCTTACCACCATGAACTCCAAATATTAGTTGCATATCGATGCTCGTCAACTCAATGTGTTTACCACCAATCAAGAAAGCAGACTTTTCTAGAACAAATGTCTGAATGATCCTCATTACAATGTCATCGCATTTTTGGAATTCATGTCGGTTTAGATCGGTTTTTCGCATCGCATCCAACAGCAACCAGAACGGTGTTTTCTAAAGATGATGCAAATGCTCATCTTTAAGTTTTGACGCTGCCACCAGCTTCACAATTCCAGCAATATTGGAACGGTAACAAAATCTTGGTTGTTTGTTCAGTCATTGTTGAGGCTCATATTTCAGCTTCTTTCCTTTTCGGACATTGCTTTGCCCTAATGCGTTCATATTCTGTGACGGAGTTTGAGACCGTCGTCTTTTA